CATACATCTCTGAGATAGTTTCATAAGCAATAAGACGATTGGGTTTAAAATTACAACAAATTCATTAACCTGGGGTCAAGCATAAAGATCAGACCTAGGTGTACATTAGCGTCCTTTTTTAACTCGATAGCTTGCCTAATGTGATAGTTTCCGATGCTCATCTCGTATTTACTGATAACAGGGACCGAAACGTACACGTTCCATGGACTTATTCAAGGTCGGGGTATGTCACTGACCTAAAAGGATGCAGGTTAACATTTGGTTTTAGGAACATGCCGCCTAGCGCAGCCCCTGACGCCGATTCAAACAGCAGAATAGAAACAATCTTGTAGGTTTTTGTTTCCCTGACCTTCTAAAAGTAAAACAAGTCACTGATCTTAAATGGATACTTGGGACATTTTGCTTAGACTACGTATCTAGGTTCAGGGCGATCGCCTGGGAAGGTCTGAGGACACTTTGGACAACAATCTGGAGGTTTACCTTGTTTGACCTTGTTCGGCCCTAAGATCATGGCCTAGGAAGCTCAAATTTGGACAAAAATGAGTTCGCATACAGGCAAATTCATCCTTAAACTTGGCTGCCTTGCTTTCTTAGTTTACGAGATTTCAGGGCGGTCAAATTGACCCCCTTCCGAACCGAGCGGAGGTCATCCAATCGGCCGCACGGGCGTGTGTGAACGGCTTTGCTGAATACAAGCTCGCAACGCACGTGCCCACGCTTCCCAATTTATCTTTATCTGATCGGTTTGCAAATGTGTGACCTACCAAGAATGATTTAATTGTCATTAGTAACATTGTAGCCCGATGTTTAGGCTGCCTTTTCCCAATAGCCCGCGCGTGCATGTTTTCGCCTTGCACGTTGATTGCATTTTAACCGCTAGACATATAGGCTTGTATTTAGCACACCATCAGGGCCGGATCCAGGATTTCGTCAGGGGGGGGGGGGGGGAGGGCACGCAACATTGTGGGGCCCCCTGGAGTTTCGGGCCCCCTCCAAAAAATAGCCTTGCATTCTGGTCATGACATTTTAAGACAAGTCGCATGTAACACACACACACACACACACACACACACACACACACACACACACACACACACACACACACACACACACACACACACACACACACACACGCACACACACACACACACACACACACACACACACACACACACACACACACACACACACACACACACACACACATATATATATATATATATATATATATATATATATATATATATATATATATATATATATATATATATAATGTATATGGGTACGCATATATGAATGCATGCATTTACTTATTCATTTATTTCATAAATGCGGAAACCCATCTAAGCCAGGCGTGCTACGCATGCATACACATAAAACTCGCTCACTTTCTACAGATCATGTTAAATGCTGTGATTTTGGGGCCAAGTGTTTCGAAACAACAGGCAAACTTGAGTTAGCTGCTAACAACCATCAAAACCAAGCATGGACTTGATTCCTAGCTTATGTTTTTAAGGCTAGCCGACTGGGCGATGTAATCAGTTGATGGCTGGTGACTAGTGCAGAATTTTTCCTCTGTTATAAATGAGTACAGCATATCCTAGCATTCGAAATATGTTAAGAACGTGATGCACGAGTATAATAAGTACCCCACACTCAACAGCTAATGAAAATGGCATACGACGTCGGCGGCATGTTCATCACGTTCGGCAATTGTGCGTAAAAATTCATCAGCGCATATTGGACCATTGCTGAGGCGAAGGCACCAAGGTCAATAGGGACGAAACCTCAGCGATCGTGGGTGCCGCAGGAAGTGGCTCAAAGTGACTCTCGTCAACAACTATAGGGTCCGCAGAGCAAGCAAAAAGAACCCGGGACCAGCGTACTGGGCTCATGAACGACCGGTAGTGCCTCAGCAGGCTGACAGCAGGCAAAATTCATGGTCTTGAATTATCCAAGACCATGAATACCCCTGTGAGATCAAGAGTGCGCGGGCGGGTTAACAACACGAGCCTCGATAGGAGTGAAGAGTCCCCTGCAAATGAAACCAGAGGGGAGCCCTCGATGAAAGTAGATGGCCCCTGAGTATCGAGTAGACAGCGTAGTGAGCTCTAAAGCTCATTTTTTACCCAAGCAACGCTTTCTCAATCAGCAAAAAAAAAGAACCTGGTCTGCTTTTGAGGCCTTTGCTTTTGCTAACAATTGTTCTTGGTCGTCTCCAGGGCCAAAGACTTTCAATTTTGTTGTGTTTTTGGTGTAAGAAAACTGCGTCCGTCCGGCCGCTTACGAGCCCCTTCAGAGCCCTTAGGTCACCTCGCCATGGTCCATTGGGCATGGTTCCGTAAATCCCCCCCCCCCCCCCTCTGCATCCGCCACCGGCCCGAGCAGCATAATAGATGGGGCTCGCCAATAACATGGGGCCATCCATTCAAAAAAGAAGTACTCACGTCACCTTGCGTAGGGCTCTGAACGAGTGAGTGCGCCCAAGCAGGTTAACATATAGGGCCCCCCGTAAAGAGCGTAGGGCCCTCCATTCAAAAAGGAAGCACCCAAGACCCAATGTAGAGGGCCCCTGAATGATCGAGTGTGTCTGAGCAGGCTAACAGGTAAGATTCCCCAAAAGAGCATAGACCCTCCGTTCAAATAGGAATTATTCAAGACCCATTGTAGAGGGCCCCCGAATAATCCAGTGCGTCAGAGCAGGTTAACTAATAGAGCCCCGTCAAGAGCGTATTGCCCTCCATTCCAATAGGAAGGATCCAAAACCCGATGAAGAGTGCCCCCGAATGATCGAGTGTCCCGAGCAGGTTAACAAATAGAGCTCTCAACAAGACCGTAGGACCCTCCATTAGAATGGGAAGCACCGTAGACCTTATGTGAATGGCACCAAAGTGATAAAATGTGCCCAAACAGCTTATCAAAAGGGGCCCAGGAAGAACGTGGGGCCCTCCGTTCAAATAAGAAGCACCTGAAACCCAGTGCGGAGGGCCCCCGAAAGATGGAGTATACCCGAGCAGTTTATCAGGTGGCCCAGACAGGAGTGTAGGGCCTTAAGATCAAACACCACAACCCAATGTGCAGGGCCCTCGGACAATCCAGTGTGGCAGAAGCGGCGAACAGATGGGGTTCCCGACAGGTACGTAGGGCCCTCCATTCAGATAGGAGGTACCCATGACACTATGTGGAGGGTCCCCGGATATTCGAGCGTGCCCGAGCCGGTTAACAGATGGGGCCCCGGCAAGGGTGTAGGCCTTCCGTTCAAGTATGAAATACCCAAGACACGAAGCAGAGGATCCCGAATAATCGAATGCGCCAGGGCAGGTTAACAGATAGGACCCCCAAAAAGTGCGGAGGGCCCTCCATTAAAAAAGGAAGTATCCAAACCAGATGTAGAGGTCCCCCACGATCGAATGGGCCCGAACATCTTATCAGAAGGGGCTCCGACAGGAGCGTAAGGCCTTGCATTCGGATAAGAAGTACCCAAAACCCGGTGCAGAACAGAGAAAACCCGGTGCAGAATGTGCCCGAACAGATTATCAGATAGGCCCCACAAGAGCGTAGGGCCCCCTATTCAGAAAAGAAGCACCCAAGACCCAGTGTGGAGGGTCACGAACGACTGGGTGTGCCCAAGCAGCCCACCAGATGGGCCCCCGACGAGAGTGTAGGTCTCTAAGCAAGCGACAAAGAATTGGAAATGCTCTAAACCAACGTGGAGGGCTCATGAGGGTATTCCAAGTGTGTCGGTAGGTTAACCGAGGCCCACGTAACGGGCCCCTGAGCAGCCGAAAATACCTCGGCTATAGCTGACAGAGCCTTTCTGGCGAATGCAAAGAATCCGTGGAAGGGCCCGTGAGTGACAAGAGTGCACCGGTACGCTTACAGAAAGGGCCCCAACAACAGCGCGGGGCCCTCCGAGCAAGTGCAAAGAAATGAAGGGCAACGTGAAATGCTCCTTAGCGATCGAAATGATCCTGCAAGTGGGCATATAGGTCCTCCGGAAAGAGCGTGCGGTTCCTAGACAGTGTAATGGGGCTTAAAGTTCCAGTTCACAACTTTTCCGACCATTGATTTCTTTTTTGATTTTTCGTAGGCCCTTCACTTTTGCTCACAACTGTTTTTGGCCGCCTGAAAGTCCAGAGATACCCAGTTTTGTTGCGTTTTGCTAAAAAAACTCCAACTCGTTTCCCGATTATGGAGCCTCACCGGAGCCAATGGAACCCTTCGGGCCCAAGGGGGGCCATGGCCTGTGCTCCCCCTCCCCCCCTCTGGATCCACCCCTGTGTGAAGCCCCGACTTATAGTAAAGATCATGCGCAGCAATCCCCTGGTTTTCCGTATAGCAAATAGCGCACAAGAATCTCGAAACTGAATGGCCGGAATGCGAGGATTTCTTCTTTAAAGCGGGCCCAAAACATCAAAAATGTAACTAAGTTGCATGTCCCGCCTCCGCAACAAAGTCCTGGATTTGCCACTGCCGTTGTGTTGTGTGACCTGGATGTGCAATTGTACCCAATTTCCGAGAGTCACCTACAGTCCGGTTAGAACCCACCATTCAACCTATTCGGAAACCCCACTGTTGCAAAGGATGACTAATGTAGCTGTGCAGTTGTGTCCAACCGCGCTACATTCGCCGCGCTTTTGTTTTGCTTGGGATTTTGACCTTGGCCCGTAAAGCAGTGTGACAAGTTGTGGCCAGGCCTTGGAACTGTCGCGATTATACAGGCGCCCCGACGGTGCTGTTCCGCTGTCGCTTTACGGGTGAGGTGCGTCGTGCCCGTTTATATTTGCTGATGTAAGGAACTTAGGACTACTTATTGCAAGGACCTTGGTGCTTCATGGGAGGTCCAGCTTAGACTTCTTGCTTCTACGCTTCCTGGTTGCGGGCAGATTCCGGAAGAGTTCGCGAACCTGTGATAGAAAGTTATCAGCATTTACGGTTGTCTGACAATCCTGCCCCGTTTCTGTCCAAACATGGAGGTTAAGACAAACTGGGTAGCATGTGTGCAATGTGCATTAAGGTGAATGCATGCATTGAACTTTGAACCACAAACTATGCTTTGTGCCAGGAGCTAAACTTTTGATAAGACATTGTATAATTCTTTAAAGATGCTGTGGGATAAAAGATTCTGAGTCACACACTTGTGCCAGAGCTGCTAAGTCATTGATGAAGTTGTGTCTGAACAATGTCTTCTCATATTTGGCCTACTCAGAAAGTTTGACTGTTTGGGTAAATGTTTCCAATGCCCCAAACACTGAAGGCAATGTGATTATTATCATCACAGAAATGATACCAGACACAGAGGAAGGAAGCCTGTAATCCTTAGGAGCCCCTGCGATAAGCACTTGGGCATCAACACATCAGAGTATCCTGTTTGTATGAGTTTGGTAACAGGCTCAACTTTCCAGATCCATCCATATGCTTGGAGTAATGGCTGCTGACCTTTAGCCTACTAAAACTGGGGAGTTTTAATTGACAATATGGATGGGTTCAGGCCTTGAGGTGGTTGTGGTACATCAGGAAAACATTATTTGTTGTCTGTGAGATGGCTAGTGTTAATGATATAGTGGGCTTTCAGCTATGTAGTTTTGTTGCCTTTATTTTGTTGAATTGGGCTCTAACATGTTGTACTCTAGGCTGATTTCAGTAGGATGACATTACCTTTTTCCTGATGTGATACTAGCATGCCTTCCAGGTAGATGTTGTTCAGGTTGCCTTATATGTTGCAGACAAGCTTTTCCATGCCTTTCAGTTGGTTTCACTCCTCTGCAAGGTCCTGGTGGTATATATCTTATGACAATTTGTAAAAACAGGATGAGTTAGACAAATCCAAGTTTTTTGCTTGATTGAATTGCATAATTCACATGTAATTACCAATATGCTTACATCGGTACCTTTGTATGTCTGCACCTTGATCTACTATTTTGTCAAAATTGTCTTTGGCTACACCAGGCTGATGGAGCTACATAACTTCTGGATAACTAATGTTCATATGGACTTAGTGTTATTCACTCAGTGTCATAATGAGATCCAATTTGCTGATAGCCTCAATCATTCTCAGAATCAGGCATCAGAATCAGGGGGCCTTTCAGGGGTTTCAGGGACCTTATGTATGGTCAGAATCAATGGGCCATTATTTCAGGGATCTTACTCATGGTCAGAATCAGGTGCTGTTGATTTGACTATTTGACTATTGTGAAAGGCACAAAAATTGTTTTCCCTTGTAAAATGACTGCTTTCCCTTATTTCCCTTTCTTGTAGAAGTTCATGGTGCATTTTGAACCTCTTCTTAGGCCAAGTCATTTTGGATCTGCTTACTTCATTGTGTGGCTTATCTCATAATGTGCATTGCCCTGTCCCAGTATGGCACATAATCCTGCTGTCAACCATGCACATAGTGGAGTTTGCACTGATATGCTTCTCTGTCATTATCCATGGATGTGGGGAAGGTGGGACCAATAATACCTTTTGTTGTCAGTCATGCATGTGGTGAAGGTGGATGGGCACCATATGGCTGGGACAGTCAGTTCACGTAAGATCGTAAATCATTCAACAATGGAGGTGGGACTGAAATCCACCCTCTGTTATGGGCCATTAGTGCGAGTGTGGTTGAGGCGGGGGCTGACCCTTCGATCTGTAGGCAGCCATGAACATGGTGAAGGTGGTGAACTGACCCTGCCCTCGATTTCCAGCCATGAGCGTGGTGGAGGTAGGGCTGCGCGTGGTGCGCGGCCCCGACTGGAACTGGGGCGCTCAGGACGGCGGGCTCGGCCACACGGGTACTGTCGTCGAGGTGGGTGGCAGCAACAGCGTCACCACACCCGACAAGACGGTCGTCGTCATCTGGGACTCTGGCAACAAGACCAACTACCGCGTCGGTTACCAGAACGCACATGACCTCTGCGTGTTCGACTCGGCGGCGGCTGGTGGGTGGTTTGATAGCTCTGCAGTGAGGCGATAGGCTGCGAATGGTGGCGATATCCTGTGGTGGTCATGCTTAGTGGCAGGGAAATAAGCTCTGTCTTTCCCATTTCTGCATGCATAGTCCCAGCTCGCTTTCAAGACGTGCGAATCTAGCTCCATGCCCATCTCGCTGATGGCCCTGGCGGTTTTGCATTCAGTCTGTCGGCGGCTCTAACACGAGCTCATCAGTCACCCGGTGTGGCCACGCGTCGCGCGCCGCCGGGGGCCAGCGCCGGCGCGGCCCGCCCTCTGACCCGTCCCGGTGCGCGTGCGCAGGCGTGCACCACCCGCAGACGGTGTGCGCCGGCTGCAAGGAGCGCAACATTCGCGGCATGCGCTGGCGCTGCGCCGTCTGCCCGGAGCTGGACCTCTGCACGCCCTGCTACATGCAGGACCGACACGACACCAGCCACCCCTGCGTGCGCTTCGAGCGGTCCACGCTGCCCGGGTGAGGATGGTCCCGCGCGGCGCGGAGGAGACCCCATGCCTCATGGGGCGCAGCATTTGCTCAGGGATAGCATGACAGATATCCACCAATACCCAACAGCAAAGGTACTGCATACATTTTTGTTTCAAGTTGTCGGGCAAGAGGCGCCGATGAAACCTGAGCAGCTGAAAAAGACGGTATCAGTATTTCCAAGTCCCACATTTACGAGGTTTGGTTGGTAACATTGTATAGCGTTTCGGAATGAGCATGGCTGTCGTACTGTCGTTCCGCGTTATTTTCTCAGCTTTTGGGTTTAACTTGACCAATTCAAACCTAATCATCACCAGGTTAGGCCCGTTACAGGCCATTATTGTCTTCTTACTCTGTTTTTCTTTAAACTCCCAATTGTGTGAGTAACGTAATCGTGATGAATCCGCTTTCAGGAGTGCGCTGTCGATTGCAAAACATGAATGCCACTTGCGCAAGTCCAGGAGTGCTACACACTGTCGCTCTGCCTGCTGGCCTGTGCTGACCGAGGGGGCCTGTGTCGCCACAGTGTTGAGGTGCCGTGTCGCCGAGACAGCACCAAACATCAACTCAAGGGCATCTTCACCAACGCCAAGGTGGTGCGAGGCGTCGACTGGGAGTGGGGAGACCAGGACGGTACGTGCTGTGGGTTGGGGGACCAGCATGGCGCGTGCTGGGAGTCGGGAGACAGGGACGATACGTGCTGGGAGTGGGGAGGCCAGGGAGGTACGTGCTGTGAGTGGGGAGACCATGACTCTGCATGCTGGGAGTCGGAGATCTGGGTGGGGAGCACTAGGCAGGGTATGTAAACAGTACCAGGAAGGATGACTGGAATCTGCATGAGTTACAGGTCGTCCTGTGGCTCAGGCAGCAGCTGTGCGGGACATACAGAGTATATCTGTATGAGTCATGGATCGTCCTGTGGCTCAGGCTGCAGCTGTGTGGGGCATACAGAGTGTATCTGTATGAGTTACAGGTCGTCCTGTGGCTCTGGCTGCAGCTGTGTGGGGCATACAGAGTGTATCTGTATGAGTTACAGGTCGTCCTGCGGCTCAGGCTGCAGCTGTGTGGGGCATACAGAGTGTATCTGTATGAGTCACAGGTCGTCCTGTGGCTCAGGCTGCAGCTGTGTGGGGCATACAGTGTATCCATATGAGTCACAGGTCGTCCTGTGGCTTTGGCTGCAGCTGTGTGGGGCATACAGAGTGTATCTGTATGAGTTACAGGTCGTCCTGCGGCTCAGGCTGCAGCTGTGTGGGGCATACAGAGTGTATCTGTATGAGTCACAGGTCGTCCTGTGGCTCAGGCTGCAGCTGTGTGGGGCATACAGTGTATCCATATGAGTCACAGGTGGTCCTGTGGCTCTGGCTGCAGCTGTGCAGGGCATACAGTGTATCCATATGAGTCACAGGTCGTCCTGTGGCTTTGGCTGCAGCTGTGCAGGGCATACAGTGTATCCATATGAGTCACAGGTCGTCCTGTGGCTTTGGCTGCAGCTGTGCAGGGCATACAGTGTATCCATATGAGTCACAGGTCGTCCTGTGGCTTTGGCTGCAGCTGTGCAGGGTGTACAGAGTGTATCTGTATGAGTCACAGGTCGTCCTGTGGCTTTGGCTGCAGCTGTGTGGGGCGTACAGAGTGTATCTGTATGAGTCACAGGTCGTCCTGTGGCTCAGGCTGCAGCTGTGTGGGGCATACAGAGTGTATCTGTATGAGTTACAGGTCGTCCTGTGGTTTAGGCTGCAGCTGTGTGGGGCATACAGAGTGTATCCATATGAGTCACAGGTCGTCCTGCGGCTCAGGCTGCAGCTGTGCAGGGTGTACAGAGTGTATCTGTATGAGTCACAGGTCGTCCTGCGGCTCAGGCTGCAGCTACGTGGGGCATACAGAGTGTATCTGTATGAGTTACAGGTCGTCCTGTGGCTCAGGCTGCAGCTGTATGGGGCATACAGAGTGTATCTGTATGAGTCACAGGTCGTCCTGCGGCTCAGGCTGCAGCTACGTGGGGCATACAGAGTGTATCTGTATGAGTCACAGGTCGTCCTGCGGCTCAGGCTGCAGCTACGTGGGGCATACAGAGTGTATCTGTATGAGTCACAGGTCGTCCTGTGGCTCAGGCTGCAGCTGTGCAGGGTGTACAGAGTGTATCTGTATGAGTTACAGGTCGTCCTGTGGTTTAGGCTGCAGCTGTGTGGGGCATACAGAGTGTATCTGTATGAGTTACAGGTCGTCCTGTGGTTTAGGCTGCAGCTGTGTGGGGCGTACAGAGTGTATCTGTATGAGTTACAGGTCGTCCTGTGGCTCAGGCTGCAGCTGTGTGGGGCGTACAGAGTGTATCTGTATGAGTCACAGGTCGTCCTGTGGCTCAGGCTGCAGCTGTGTGGGGCGTACAGAGTGTATCTGTATGAGTCACAGGTCGTCCTGTGGCTCAGGCTGCAGCTGTGTGGGGCGTACAGAGTGTATCTGTATGAGTTACAGGTCGTCCTGTGGCTCAGGCTGCAGCTGTGTGGGGCGTACAGAGTGTATCTGTATGAGTTACAGGTCGTCCTGTGGCTCAGGCTGCAGCTGTGTGGGGCGTACAGAGTGTATCTGTATGAGTTACAGGTCGTCCTGTGGTTTAGGCTGCAGGTGTGTGGGGCGTACAGAGTGTATCTGTATGAGTCACAGGTCGTCCTGTGGCTCAGGCTGCAGCTGTGTGGGGCGTACAGAGTGTATCTGTATGAGTCACAGGTCGTCCTGTGGTTTAGACCGCAACTGTGCTGGGGCTACAGAGTTAACTGATAGAAGCTTGAGTCAGACATTAAGCAGGCCTTTATCTCGGGGTTGAAGAGGGGGGGGGGGGGGGGGGGGAGGGAGGGGCGTCGCCTCTCTGTACATCAGGATTGGTTACGGGAATGGTTTTAGTCTTTACATCGGTGAGACATTTTGCTCCCTGGATGGCCCTGTGCTACATGAGCTGGGGTCATATGCAAGCGTGGTTGACACGCATGAGGCTTTACTGCTCTCTTGATAAGACAAGTCCCGTGGAAGTACTGGGTCGCATCATGTGAGGTTGTCTACTGATGTCGCCCATACCCGTCATATGTTACGTTCGTAGCGATTATGCCCTTCTATGGTTGGTTCGTGGTGGAATATTACTAGTGTCGTCATCTCGAGGTAGTTGCACTTGCACATTCTTATTTTTGGCAGCACATCGTGTTCGTGCACCACATGCCCGGGATGTGATAGACGTGATGTCGTACATATTAGTCCACAGAATGCTGTATAAGCATATGGCACTGACAGCGAGCAAATACCGGGTGACATCTCATCGTCGTTCCTCTGGCCGTGCCGGCCGTTTTAATCTTCAATTGTAGTCCACTTGCTTGACCAATACCATTGCACATTCCAACGGTGACCTTTCACTATGTCACGGGGTCCGGTACGCTTACCTGACCTGACCTGACCTGACCCGACCTGACCCGACTGCCACGTGCCCTCCAGGCAATAAGGTGGGCCGCGTGACGGACATCCACGGCTGGGACAACGAGTCGGGCCGCTCGGTGGCCAACGTCTCGTGGGTGACGGGCGTGCCCAACGTGTACCGGCTCGGCCACCAGGGCAAGGTCGACCTCATGCACGTGACCAACGGCGAGGCGGGCGGCGGCCCCTGCTACCTGGATCACCTGCCGGCGCTGGGTGAGAGGCCGCGCCGCGTGCGGGCAGCAGCCTCCGGCCGCCGCTTGTTCACGCCCGCCAGGGGTCTGTGTCCCAGCTCCGTTGAGACGTGCCCGTCGTGCTCCGTTGGGCGAGCTTGCCGGCTTCGCCTGCTGCGTTTGTGCCGGCTGCTGCTGAGATGACATGCTCGTTACTTGCGTCGTTCCGGATGGGGCTCGCGCTTTTAAGACACTGCGGCGTTCTTCTTGCCCGTTGCCTTAGTTTAGTCTCCTTTGTGATGATGGCGAATACTTTGTGTCATACACAGCAGGATGTGAGAAAACGCGTACATTGCGGCATGTTTTGGACTCTGTATGAGTTACTGCGCGCGTTTTGTGCTGGCCCACCCCGTGGACGCGGTGAGCGTGGCCGTAGCGGCCGTGCTGGGCGGCTGGGCGGCGAGCCGAGGCGGAGCGCTGGGCCGTGACCGCGCCCGCTCGGCTGTCGGCAGGCCGCGTGCCGCCAGCGCCGGCCGCCGCCGAGGGCGCCGCGGGCGCGCTGCGACCGGCGCCGACGCCGGCGCCGCCGACCCGGCCAGCAAGAGTCTTCTCAATGGGAGACCGGGTCCAGGTGGCCGGCGACGCCGCCGCCCTGCAAGCGGCACAGGAGGGCCACGGCGGCTGGAACCCGCGCATGATGGACGTGAGTGGACCTCCGGCTGGCAGAAGGAGCGGCTGCTGCGCTCGTTAACGTGGCGTGGGCATCTGTGCTTTCGGTCGGGTACGTCTCGTTTGGAGCTGTGCTCTCTTCTCGACTGGCAGGCCCAAGTCGCGAATCATATCTGCTGCGGTGCTGCACATGCGCCACGTATCCGGATCGGATCACTGTGCTGGCTGTCGGGTCTGTACAAGTCGTCGGAGACCCACAAAGCCGCATGTCTGGACGCTGTGTGGCGGCGCCGTACCAACCGATCGCCCAGCTACAGCGCAACCCGCTGGGCCCAATTCCCTGTGTGGACACGGCGCGCGCGCCGCCTGAGCCTGACCCGCTGGCGTCTCCCTCCTCTCGCAGTTCATCGGCCAGGCGGGAGTGGTGCACCGCATCACGGACCGCGGCGACATTCGCGTGCAGTACAGCAACGGCACGCGCTGGACTATCAACCCGGCGGCGCTGGTGCGCGTCAGCCCGCTGGCCGTGGGCGACACGGTGCGCGTGCTGGAGGACGCGGCGCGCGTCCGACTCTTGCAGAAAGGCCACGGCGAGTGGAGTGACATGATGAAGGCCGTGAGTGTCACGACGCGGACGGCGGGCGCCAGCGTGCAGGCTTGGCGGCTATGCAGCGCGCTGGGCATGGACGCCAACGTACTGTGCATGGGCGCCAGCGTGCCGTGTATGGGCACCAGCGTGCTGTGTATTGGCGCCAACGTTCTGTGCGTTGGCACCAGCGTGCTGCGCGTTGGCGCCAGTGTGATGTGCATTGGCACCATCGTGCTGTGTATTGGCGCCAGCGTGCTGTGTATTGGCGCCAGCGTGCCGTGCATTACTTTTTGGAGCAGGAGGGGCTGGCCGGAGCGCTCCATAAGTCATCTAGCATGTACGTAGAAATTTGTGCTACCATTGTCCTGGCTCGGTGGCGGTCTCTGCACGCCGTTCATAGGCGCTAATCCGTTGCCGTTTAACCCCGAGCCCAGACATCTGACCTGTCTGGCCCATTTATCATGCCTGAGGCGCTTAGATTCTGGGTTGACCTCCCGGCGCGTTGCAGAGTGGCCGATTTTGAGCAAGGGGAGGGGCAGCGGGCGTTGAACCCCAAAGTGTCATGGCAGGAAAAAATATCGGCATCCCCGGCTCCCAAGTGGCCAAATACTGAAACGCCCGCGAGCTGCTTCCAGTGGGAGTCATTGCTAGTGCATGTCAGATTTGACGAGTCGTTCGTCCGTTCAAGTGTTTAATGTCTGCGTGTAGGGGGTGCACATTATATACCCGACCTTTCGCACGTGAGCAGTGACGTAATGCAGCGCCGTGTCGTCGAGCGTCGCCGCGCGGTCTGCCGAGCCGCAGACCAGAGCGGCCCCTAACCGTGCGCCACCGCCGCCGCCGCCCGCCGCCGCCAGTGTCTCGGCAAGACGGGCCAGATCACCAAGATCTACGCGGACGGCGACCTGCGCGTCAGCGTGGACGGCCAGACGTGGACCATCAACCCGATGTGCGTGAGCCCGCTGTGTCCGGGCCCGCCGACCGCCGACCCCAACTCGATGCGCAGCCGCGACAGGGACGACCAGCCCGGTGAGCGAAACGCCGGTAGGCGGCCTGTCGCACGAGGCGGCCTGCAGCGGCACGCGCCGGCTCGCTTTGTTAGCTGATTGTCCGCTGTGTGGGTGGCGTGCAGTAAGCACTGCAAGGCGTCCACGTAAGCCGTCGTGAAGATGCGACTTTTTCTGCCCAGAGATTTGTACCAGCAGTGGCTTCGATGCCAGCACGCGTTAGCAGCATACCATGTCCAAGGTTCCGCTAGTGCCAGGACGCGTTAGCAGCACACGATGTCCAAGGTTCCACTAGTGCCAGCACGGGTGCCAGTCTTCAGTGTTTTTAAAAAGTGATTACCGCGTTTTAAATCGAACTTTCGCTTCACACGTAAGTGACCGAATCAGACATGCCGGAAACGCGTTGTAAAACCGTTCTTCCAAAGTGTTGCTTTGAACCCTTCACATTTTCCCCTGAAATATATATTTTTGCTGTTTTTTTCATCCGTTTCGTTCATTGCAATCATCAAACAGCTTTCCCCCAACAAATATACCTTTACTTTTTTCATGTGCGGCCGAAATGCACTGATATGCTGTGGCCAAATTGCTGCCTTCCTAAACCATATAAGAGCTCGTTATACCTTATTTTGTATAAAAATGTGAGATTCAAAACAGTATCCCTGAGCAAAGGTTCTGCCGTGACTCTTGCAACGAGATAGTCAAATTGGCCTTTTCAAACTGATTTGTTAACCGTGCTCGGGGTTATGTTTGCTGCCATATCCGAATCTGGTTTAGCTTTAACTAACCATGTGGGACTTAGTCGAAGTGGACTGCCAATTGTATGCTTGAGGTGCCCAGGTGCACCCTCTGGCGCCTTGTTCAGCGATCGCATCGCCGTGTGTTTAGTGCGGCGTTTTTATGTGGTCGCACCCAGACGTGACGACCGGACTTTAACACAGCCCAGCGGCTCTGTCACCGGCAGTACCCCTGTACCGCCAGGGACCATGCGGTACCTGCTGCCGTCTCGACGTGCCGACTTCCGCATACGTGCGCCTCGCGTCTCGTGCCGACGTCCCATGACCGCTGGGCCCCGGTGCCGCAGGCGCCCTGGTATCGTTCATCAGCAGCTTCCTGGAGCAGCACAAGGAGACGTCGCTGGCCGACCGGCTGGTGCGGGACGCCGCCCAGGGCCGCACCGAGGCCGTGCGGCAGTGGCTGGAGAAGCAGCGCGACAAGGTGCGCGCCGCCGCCCGTCAGGCCCGGCGGACGCTGGGCGGGCCGGTTTGGGGGACTGTGCCATCGGGTCTGGATGTGCTGTTTGGCACTGCTGGGGGCATGGTGTGTTATATACCGATGCCGATTTAGTCCGAAGGCTTTGTTCCTCTCCGTGTGCGTTCTCGCGGAGCAGTGGCTGTTCTAGGGCTTGCGGTCTGCCGATCGGGCTGTCGTGGGCCGTGCCGCGCCGGCCCGAGCGCCGTCTACAGCGTGTGTCTCGGTGCGCGGCTCAGGTGGACTGCAAGAGCAGCGGCCGCACTGCGCTGCAGCTGGCCTGCCACCAGGGCCACATGGAGACGGTGCGGCTGCTGCTACACCGCCAGGCCAGCGTGGCCGCCACCGACGACGACGGCGACACACCGCTGCACTACTCCGCCTTCGGGTACTGGCCGGCCCGGGCGCCGACGCGCGCCGCACGCGCGGCCCCGCAGTTTCGGGGTTGAGGCCCTGGCGTGCCGAATATTGCGCCCCCCCCCCCCCCCTCCCATGGACATGCCTCGGAGTAGTGGATTTGGCTGTCGATATTTGGGTTTCATTCGTAGCGTCACACAGACGCTCGCCGAACACCTCACCCCGCTGTCATGCTTTCGACCGTCGGTTGCCAGACGGCTGCCGTAGATGAGAGCCATCTATAGAATGAAAACATTTTTGCTGAAGCGCTGTTCAGTGCTCTTCTGTCGGAGTATGTCTGAGCCGGCTGTCGGTGCCGCCGGAGTGTGTTTGAGCCGGCAGTCGGTGCCGCCGGAGTGTGTCTGAGCCGGCAGTCGGTGCCGCCGGAGTGTGTCTGAGCCGGCAGTCGGTGCCGCCGGAGTGTGTCTGAGCCGGCAGTCGGTGCCGCCGGAGTGTGTCTGAGCCGGCAGTCGGTGCCGCCGGAGTGTGTCTGAGCCGGCTGTCGGTGCCGCCGGAGTGTGTTTGAGCCGGCAGTCGGTGCCGCCGGAGTGTGTCTGAGCCGGCAGTCGGTGCCGCCGGAGTGTGTCTGAGCCGGCTGTCGGTGCCGCTGGAGTGTGTCTGAGCCGGCAGTCGGTGCCGCCGGAGTGTGTCTGAGCCGGCAGTCGGTGCCGCCGGAGTGTGTCTGAGCCGGCAGTCGGTGCCGCCGGAGTGTCTGAGCCGGCAGTCGGTGCCGCCGGAGTGTGTCTGAGCCGGCTGTCGGTGCCGCCGGAGTGTCTGAGCCGGCAGTCGGTGCCGCTGGAGTGTGTCTGAGCCGGCAGTCGGTGCCGCCGGAGTGTGTCTGAGCCGGCAGTCGGTGCCAGCCGGAGTGTGTCTGAGCCGGCAGTCGGTGCCGCCGGAGTGTCTGAGCCGGCAGTCGGTGCCGCTGGAGTGTGTCTGAGCCGGCAGTCGGTGCCGCCGGAGTGTGTCTGAGCCGGCAGTCGGTGCCGCCGGAGTGTGTCTGAGCCGGCAGTCGGTGCCGCCGGAGTGTCTGTGAGCCGGCAGTCGGTGGCCGCTGGAGTGTGTCTGAGCCGGCAGTCGGTGCCGCCGGAGTGTGTCTGAGCGGCAAGTCGGTGCCGCCGGAGTGTGTCGGTGCCGCCGGAGTGTGGTCTGAGCCGGCAGTCGGTGCCGCCGGAGTGTGTCTGGAGCCGGCAGTCGGTGCCGCCGGGAGTGTGTCTGAGCCGGCAGTCGGTGCCGCTGGAGTGTGTCTGAGCCGGCAGTCGGTGCCGCCGGAGTGTGGTCTGAGCCGGCAGTCGGTGCCGGCCGGAGTGTGTCTGAGCCGGCAGTCGGTGCCGCCGGAGTGTGTCTGAGCCGGCAGTCGGTGCCGCCGGAAGTGTGTCTGAGCCGGCGTCGGTGCCGCCGGAGTGTGTCTGAGCCGGCAGTCGGTGCCGCCGGAGTGTGTCTGAGCCGGCAGTCGGTGCCGCCGGAGTGTGTCTGAGCCGGCAGTCGGTGCGCCGGAGTGTGTCTGAGCCGGCAGTCGGTGCCGCCGGAGTGGTCTGAGCCGGCAGTCGGTGCCGCCTGGAGTGTGTCTGAGCAGGCAGTCGGTGCCGCCGTAGTGTGTCTGAGCCGGCAGTCGGTGCCGCCGGAGTGTGTCGGTGACCAGCCGGAGTGTGGTCTGAGCCGGCAGTCGGTGCCGCCGGAGTGTGTCTGAGCCGGCAGTCGGTGCCGCCGGAGTGTGTCTGAGCCGGCACGTCGGTGCCGCTGGAGTGTGTCTGAGCCGGCAGTCGGTGCCGCCGGAGTGTGTCGGGCCGCGGAGTGTGTCTGAGCCGGCTGCGGTGCCCGCCGGAGTGTGTCTGAGCCGGCTGTCGGTGCCGCCGGAGTGTGTCTGAGCCGGCTGTCGGTGCCGCGGAGTGTGTCTGAGCCGGCTGTCGGTGCCGCCGGAGTGTGTCTGAGCCGGCTGTCGGTGCCGCCGGAGTGTGTCTGAGCCGGCTGTCGGTGCCGCCGAAGTGTGTCTGAGCCGGCTGTCGGTGCCGCCGGAGTGTGTCTGAGCCGGCTGTCGGTGCCGCCGGAGTGTGTCTGAGCCGGCTGTCGGTGCCGCCGGAGTGTGTCCGAGCCGGCTGTCGGTGCCGCCGGAGTGTGTCTGAGCCGGCAGTCGGTGCCGCTGGAGTGTGTCTGAGCCGGCAGTCGGTGCCGCTGGAGTGTGTCTGAGCCGGCTGTCGGTGCCGCCGGAGTGTGTCTGAGCCGGCAGTCGGTGCCGCTGGAGTGTGTCTGAGCCGGCTGTCGGTGCCGCCGGAGTGTGTCTGAGCCGGCTGTCGGTGCCGCCGGAGTGTGTCTGAGCCGGCAGTCGGTGCCGCTGGAGTGTGTCTGAGCCGGCAGTCGCTGCCGCTGAAGTGACCGCCGGAGCGTGTCTGTACCGACTGTCGGTGTCGCCGGGGTGTGTCTGAGCCGACCGTCGGTGCCGTCGTAGTGTCTGAGCTGTCGGTGCCGGCGGGGTGTGTCTGAGCTGACTTTCGGTGCCGCCGGGGTGTGTCTGAGCTGACTGTCGGTGCCGGCGGGGTGTGTCTGAGCCGACCGTCGGTGCCGGCGGGGTGTGTCTGAGCTGACTGTCGGTGCCGGCGGGGTGTGTCTGAGCTGACTGTCGGTGCCGCCGGGGTGTGTCTGAGCTGACTGTCGGTGTCGCCGGGGTGTGTCTGAGCCGACCGTCGGTGCCGCCGTAGTGTCTGAGCTGACTGTCGGCGCCGGCAGGGTGTGTCTGAGCTGACTGTCGGTGCCGCCGGGATGTGTCTGAGCTGACTGTCTGTGCCCGGCCGCCAGGAACCAGCCGGAGATCATGGAGCTGCTCATCCGAAAGAGCTGCGATGTCAACGCCACCAACCGGGGCCAGTGTTCGGCTCTGCACGTGTCGGTCAACAAACAGCATGTGGGCTGCGTGCGCGTGCTGGTTAAGGCAGGATGCGACCCCAACCTACAGGTGGGTTTAGCCAATTCTCATGCTGGAATGGGGAAATCCTGCAGGCAGGGGAAGGTGACAACTGTTCCCATGCAACGCAAGACAGGTCCAGACTCCCCCCCCCCCCCGCCCCATGTAGCCAGGAGGGGACAAACTGTTTGCTCTAGCTGTTTGCCTACCTGGATCGATCCGGTCATCACTCGGCTGGTATAGCAGTTGTCCAGTTGGTGCGGTCTCCTGCCGGGCTTGGTATTGTTGCTGGATTCCCGGGCTGTGCCTGGAGGGGAAGGGGGCAGGGTTAGCTTGTCTGCCTGTCAGCTGAAGGGAAGTTCAGTTTTCCCTTGTGTTGTTGGATTGGGAGGGCGTTAGCCTCACATCCATGAGGTGTGCTATTTGAGCCTGGGTTCTGGCCAAGAGTTGAATGCTCCCCCCCCCCCCCGCGCAGAAATCGGCTGGAGAGTTTTGGCGCTAATGATTTGTCGTTAATGACTTGACTTGTTAATGAATGCCGCCCATCGTTCAATTCAAATAACGGCAGCGACCACCTTTGCGAGCCGTCTTTGTAAGCTGGACGGGTTATAGCAGTCTGCTGCTGACCGACCTTGAATAGCAATTGCCAGTGTGCGCTAATGAAGCTTTGTAACATGTAAACAGCAGTGTTGGGTCCTAGAGTAGCGTTGTTTGGTGGCTGTTGAAGACGGCCTTTAATTTACTTCCTGTCTGATCGCCTGATTCTTCGTAAACTGCTGTAGACACTGTTGACACACTTCCCGCGAGTCTGTTCATTACGGTGCCATCGTTACCACTCGTTTTGGGACTTCACCGTGTTACGGCACATAGCGGCTTGATTGCTGCGATGGGATGGCCGTTCACGGGCTCGACTATTGCCGTCCGGCCGTTGACGTCAGATGGCCGGCCTTGCAGGACATGTACGGCGACACTGCCCTCCACGACGCCATCGGAAAAGACAACCTGGAGATCATCGAGCTGCTCGGTAACGTGCCGGCGCTGGACTTCAAGATCAAGAACAAGCGAGGCTTCAATGTGCTGCATCACGCCGCCCTGAAGGGCAATAACTTGTGAGTGCGGGGGACCTAGTGGGCGGACGCCGCTGACGTGCTCGTTGAAATGTGTGGCTGATGATCCAGACCCTGTTCACTGTGATGAACGTCGTCGATAAGTACGCAAGCTCAGACGCCCTGCCCTGCCCCGGTATCTGAGCTGGCCCCCATTGGCCCATGGGCGCGATGGAGGAGCCAATGTGCTGGCGCTCGTGGCATGCCGCGTCGTGTTCGAGGTGCCGCGGTCAGCTGACGCGCCCCCGTCGCGTGCGGCAGCGCCGTGGAGAAGCTGCTGGCGCGCTCCCGCAACGCGGCCGACATGCGGAAAGAGGACGGCTTCACGGCCCTGCACTTGGCCTGCCTGAACGGCCACGCGGCCGTGGTCGAGACGCTGGTCACGCAGAGCGGGTGCTGCCTGGACGCCGTCAACAACCGGCGCCAGACGCCGCTGCTGCTGGCCGTCTCCCAGGTCAGCCGCCGAGCCGTCCGCGAGGCGCCCAGCGGGCGTCACCAGCGCCGGCGGCGCAGCGGCATGAGTGCGGTGAAGCGAACAGGCGTGCGGATTTATAGCTAGTGGAATTGATCACTTCCGGAGAGGTCTGCCTGTCAGATATGTACAGTTTGTCGCTAGCTTCTGACGTGAGTGTCATATCACGTCTGGCGTCGGCGTGCCCTAAAGCTCATTGTCCGGTCTGGCGTGCTCTGCTTTGCTGCCCTGTCCGCCACATTCACGTGTCGCGCGCGCGCGCGCTCCGTCGCCAGCTGCACCTGGGCATCGTGGAGTACCTGATAAGCCGTGGAGCGTCCGTGCTGCTGGCCGACGAGGACGGGGACACGCCGCTGCACCTGGCCGGCCTCAAGCTGGCCGCGGCCGTCGAGGTTCGGCCCGGCGAGGCGCCGCTCATTCACGGCATCAAGGCGCACCTCGCCACGCAGGGTCAGTCGGCCGGCCGGGGCGGGGCGAGGCTCGTCAGTCGGGCCCGTCACTCGGGCTCGGCGGCGGTGGTCGGGGTGGTGGTGCCAGTCGCCGGAGACGAGGCCAGGGTCAGCTCGGGTCCGTGTGGTGGGTCCGCGCCGAGGCGCTCGGTTGGTCGTCGCGGCTGTTGGTGCTACGGTTGATGACGAGCTGTGCTCTGTGCGCGCACGGGCTCGACGATGTCGAGTGAAGGGCAGGCCGTGACGTACACGCGCCGCCCTGTTATGCGCATAGGAGTGAGGTTGCGCTGCCTTGTACGCGGGTTCTGGCCTTGATGCACATTCGTCCACTCTGACCTGTGTTGTGGCCGTGACTTTTGGCCGACACTGATGGGTGTCAATCAATTGTGCGGGATGGTGCCACTGGCATCTGGGTGACCATGCTTGTGTCTGTTAGGCCTTCTCTGGTTTTTGAATGGAAGAGTGTCTGACTTCGACCCGTTTCCTCTGGCCTTGGACTCCTTGCATAGCATGGATTTCTTTCCCCGGGAACTAAGTAATGTGTAGCTGTGCACGTGAGTGAGCGCGGCTGCATGCCTGTCTGTCCGGTGACACCATGCTGGCGGTGGCCGCAGGTTCTGAGGTCAGCCTCGTCCAGGCGATGGCCTGCTACCTGGCGCTGGAAGGCGCGCCGCTCGAGTGCACCAACAAGAAGGGTAGGACGCCGCTGGAGACGATCCTCCGTGGCGGCGACAGGAAGTTCGCCGAAATCGTGCAGTGGTACTCAGCGCAGCGCAGGTGAGAGCTGCCGTAATGTCGCGCTGCTGATGGCAGCGGGGGTAGGTATGTCGCAGCATCCTGCAGTGACACATAGGGGAGGTGGGTATGCTGCTGCGCAATGGTACTTGGAGCAGCGCATGTGCGTATGCTGGCACCGCCCTGCAGCGGCTCTCCAGCAGCGCAGACCGGTCCCATGGCGAGCTGCAGGCCTACCCGAGCAGCGTGTGTGGGCAGGCAGTGCCCTGATCAAAGCGCGACGAGCGCTTGAGCGCGACAACGTCATCCACAACACTGCCGGGACGGACATGTTGGCAGAAATAACAACACATGGTCAGTTTGGAGCAGCTGCGGAAAAGCCGACGGCGGCAGCAGCGCTTACGTCGCAACACGGTAAATTTTACGCCGCAGAGAGCAATGGAATTTAGTACAATCAGCCGCGAATCCCCCGAAATGAATACCGTTGTGAATGTGGCCAAAAGGCACAGGCGCGGGTGGTGAGAAGTGGTAGTGAAGGACAGCCCGAGTCATACATCAGCGCCGCTCCAGTGTAATCCCGATAAATGTCGCAGTGTGAGCACAAGTCGCCCCCCCCCCCCCCGCCTTCCCCCCAGTATCCACAGCGTGGGCCAGAGTCCGCCAAACAGCCACAGTGCTGGCCCATCCGTGCCGACAGCACGGTCCGCAGTCTACCGTCTGCCCCATGTCTGCAGCGTGAGCCGGTTTCGTTGGCGTTCACAGTGGGGGCCAGTGTACGCCCGTGCCCGCAGAGGTTCAGCACGACCCGTGCCCACAGTGTGAGCCTCAGCCTGACCCGTGCCCACAGTGTGAGCCTCAGTCTGACCCGTGCCCACAGTGTGAGCCTCAGTCTGACCCGTGCCCACAGTGTGAGCCTCAGCCTGACCCGCGCCCGCAGTGTGAAGCCTCAGCCCTGACCCGTGCCCCAATTGTGAGCCTCAGCCTGACCCGTGCCCACATTGTGAGCCTCAGCCTGACCCGTGCCCACATTGTGAGCCTCAGCCTGACCCCGTGGCCCACAGCGTGAGCCTCAGCCGACCCGTGCCACAGTGTGAGCCTCAGCCTGACCCGTGCCCACAGTGTGAGCCTCAGCCCTGACCCGCGCCCCGCAGTGTGAGCCTCAGCCTGACCCGTTGCCCACAGTGTGAGCCTCAGCCTGACCCGTGCACCACAGTGTGAGCCTCAGCCTGACCCGTCCCCGCAGTGTGAGCCTCAGCCTGACCCGTGCCCACAGCGTGAGCCTCAGCCTGACCCGTGCCCACAGTGTGAGCCTCAGCCTGACCCGTGCCCACAGTGTGAGCCTCAGCCTGACCCGTGCCCGCAGTGTGAGCCTCAAACTGGAGCTACCGTCGCTGTCTGACCTGACCCGGGAGCCGGCTGCTGCGGCAGCCACCGCCACCGCCACCAGCCCGTCGCAGTCGCCGGAAGAGCAGAGCGCCGCCGCGGTCGCCTCGCTCGCCGAAAAGACAGCCAAACTCAAGCTGGATAGTGATGAGGTGGGACCGATCGTGCCAGCTGGGCTTGCTTTTGTGGACCCGGCAGGCGACGGCGAGTATCGCTCTTGTAGCTCAAGTGTGCCCCGGTTCCCAGTGCCGTCGTTGAAAGGTCATACGGTGGGAAGTTATACTACTTATTTCTTAATTTGTAAGCTATTGAGCGTTACTACATCTCTATCTGTGACCATGATATATATATATATATATATATATATATATATATATATATATATATATATAGTCCGCTTTTCATCCCAGCCCGAGGGATGGAAGCATTTCAGAGGTCAAGCATGGTTGCATGCGCGGCGTACTTTCGGAAGCTATCCACTCTCGTGTTCGATTCACTGGCGTTCCAGAGGGCGCATCGTCGGCATTGTGTTGGACGGGTCCGGTGGCCGGCGCCGGTAACCGTGACGTCGCCTCCGCCAGGAGTCGTGCATGGTATGCTGCGAGCTGCCTGCCTGCGTCGAGTTCGAGCCGTGCGGACACCGCGTTACCTGCAACATCTGCTGCGCCCGCATGAAGAAGTGCGTCCGCTGCCAGACGGCCATCACCGCCAAAAAGACGGCAGGTGAGGAGGACGCGCCGGACCGCCGTCGGGCGCTGGATGGCCGCGGTCACTGCTGTTCTGGCGATGGTGGCATCGCGGGGATCGTGGTTATCAGTTAAGTTGATCCCTACACCGGTGCGTGGAAGACTATTTTCGACGTTTCGCGTCGGTCGAAGCGTTATGAGCCTGGGGTGCTGTTCTAAATGCTGGCTGTTTGTAGAAGGGAAGAAGACATGTTCTCGTTCCGAGAAGTCCGGATGTGGTTATCCGACCTTTCTCGAGTGTGGTACAGATGCGCATGTCTGCTTCGCGTGTTTCAGTGCTATCGCGGACCGTATGCGGATAGCTTACCTCTAACACGGCGTGTGAAGTTCTTGGCAAACACGTCATTCGAGTTTACGTAGCACTTGTACTGCAGGTGTTGGCACCTTCGCTCTTTTCTTCTCTGTTTACCGCATCGTGCGTCTGAAACCGCCTCACAGCGAGTAGACGTGCCCTTTCTTTTTTGCCTTTTGGAAAAATGCTGGTATCGCTACAGCTGGTCCGGGAGAGAACGTGTTCATTTCAGCCAAACCTGATGGGAATGGGCTGCAGCAGTCGCTGCGTCTGCTATGTGTTGTGTGCTTATTTCGTGGTTCGCTGTGTATCTTGGGGTCCTTGTTTCCGTCTTGCCAATTTCATCCATTCGGTGCGTTGAACACTTTTCTAGGTCTCGGTGATCGCGATATTGACGACAAAATCGGGGCGGCCGGTGTGGATGTGTGGCGGGACTAGGTTCTGCATCCGGCGGGATAGGTGAGAGTCGCGCTGAGAGTTGCGCTGCGTCCGCCCCGTCGCCAGGCTGTCACGCAGACGTTCCGTTTGCAGACGGGAACGTGCTGGCATCGCGCGGTCGGGCGCCGAGCTCCGAACGCCTGCGTTACCTGGAGACGAAGATCGCCGAAATTGAGGAGGTCCACGGCTGTTCGATCTGCATGGAGAGGCGTCCGCAACGTCCGTGTTCCTGTGGCGGTCATGGCGCGTGCGCGGTCTGTGCGCACGCGCTGCAGAATTGCCACATGTGCCGCAAAGCCATCACGCAGAAGATCAACATCTACTGAGCGGCCAGCGCCGCGCCACCGGGTGCTCCGGTCGTCGCGCTGGGGCTGGCCGTGCACGCGACTGCCGCATGCTCGCGCGGCGTTGAGTCACGGGGACTCTTGTGACTGATGGGAGGAGGGAGGGCTGGGGGGGAGGGGGGGGAGGGGAGCTTTGGACGACAGCAGTTCCGCTCTGGCCGGACAGCCGTGACGCGGCCCCGTCCCAGCCGACGGCAAGGCGTGCTGCACGTCACAGAGGCTGGCGGCCGTCGTCCGCGCCCAGCTGGCCGACGCCTCGGTGGTAGTCGGACGTGCTGGGAGACGTCCGCGCCTGTTGCTTCGTGTCGGATGCATGCGGGGCGCACGGCACACCGCCGTGCTGTCCGAACACGTCGCACTATCCGCGACGCGTGGTGCTCTGACTGTGCGGGTCGCGTTAAAGCCAGACATTAGGTGAGCGCGTACTCCGAAGTCGGAGGCCATTTTTCCGCCGAGCGGCTCCTGTTCATTGGCGGCGCCTGGCGCCGTGTCACCGACTCTCTTGATAGAAATGGCAACGCTTTGTAGTGTGGGATTGAATCCGTTCATGATGCACTTGGCACGTAGTGGGCGCCCTGCGGACTTGGCCGTGGGTTGATGCGTAGGAAGCTCGAATCTTTGAAGGTTTCATCGTTGCAGACGTGACCAGGATTTGTTCACATAGACGGGCAAGACACTATATGTGACATTTATTTGCAAAGCTACTTTGTAGTGTGTGGAGTGTCCACCGTTTACAAGATGGATTGAGAAAGTACTTCGTCCGAATGCACTCTTTTGTACCATTTTGCGGGCATGATTGTCTTCATATCGATGGGATATATTTAATTACTCGGGCTATTGTGTGTGAACTGTGATCATGCACTTCAGCTTCACAAATACATGTACACTTTTCCTCTCTTTGTGCGCACCACTGAACTGAATCAAGCGCATGTTTTCCCTATCTAAAATGGAATTTTACCAAAGATGCGTTTGCGCACATGCATTGTAATGCTATTTCATAATTGGCAGGCGCCCGGCCAAGCAGACAACCGCACAATACAGATAATTTGATTCTAGTTGGGCGATAGGAGTTAAGGACGCAAACGTCTACCACGGTTCCCAAAACCGACTGCATCCAAGCTATGAGCGATTTTGTGGCTAATCAGTAGCCTTCCATTTGACGTAATGCTGCTATTTGCAGGTATTGTGCTGGTATTTGCAGGTAATGCGGGTATTTGCAGACATAAGTACCTCCAGAACCTAGATACCTGTCCTAGCAAAAGGTCACTGATGCTCATTTGATGTCAGTGACCTTGTTTGACCTTAAGGGGGTAATGGCGACCAAAATCACGCAAGACTGGTTGCGTGGTTTGTATTTAAATGAGCGCCATATTACGCTAGGCAATAAGTTACTAAGAGCAAATTGTTCACCAGGGTCATTTCAGGTCAGTGACCTTTTCTGACCTTAACGAAGTTCGTAGAAAACTGTTATGCGGTTCCTGTGGCCAATAAATTCAAAATGAGCACCAGAAACCAGAAAACGGCCATCAGAATAATAAAACAGGTTGGTTTTGACCTTGGTGTGACCTTCATATCTGACCCTAGGTCAACGAAATCCGTTCATTCAATTGTGTCGACTTAGGAACTATCTCAGGGATTCTCGACATCGTCCAGCACTCCGTTGTCGCATCAGATTGAACGATTCCCACGAAATTACCTTCGCTGAATCCATGGCCCGAATAAAAGCAAATCCTCAACCGCAGGATGGGTTTCTCGCTAAAAACCAGGGCCTTCCATTTTATAACGGGGGATTTTTAGTTAACACCGTGGGGCCTCGTAGATCCCAACGGGGCTGTCTGGTCCATAACGGGGGCCTCGTAGATCCTAACAGGGTTTTCTAGTCCATAACGGGGCCTCCTAGTTCATAACGGGGACGTCCTAGTTCATGGTAGAGGCCACCCGAAGCAGCCAAGAGGCTCCTCAACACAAAATTGGGCCTACTGATCTAAGAGCATGAACAGCTTTATTCATAAAGGCACCCTCATGATTCGGAAAACGGGGATCTTGATGCAGAGTTACGAAGGGGCCTCCAAATCTAGCCAAGGGGCCTCGTTATTCCAAAACAGGGCATCCTCATTCGGAGCTGCGGCCATCTGATGCTTGAAAGGGCTTTGCTGTTCCAAAACCGGGATATCTATATGTCTCTGGATGGTGTCTTCTAATCAAGAACAGGAGCCCCTAGTTCGTAACAGGGTCTCACGAGCCAAAAAAAAAACGCCTCCTTAACATAACGTTGGGTTTATTGATCTAGACGATGGACTACCTATTCATAAAGGTGACCTCATGATCCACAAAACGGGCTTCTGGATGTAGAAAACGGTGTTTTGAGCCCGAATGATTGCTCTCTCTCGCTTAGCTTGGGGACCTCCTTGATTTGAATTTTGGTAACCTACGGATAGGTAGAATTCCTTTGACTAGGCGAAAGGGGCTTCCGAAAACTTTTAGAGAGCAAGAACATACTATTCCCCTGCCTGCCGGCGGGGGCTGCCCTCTCTGGACCGCCCAGAACCTGGCCGAACCGCTGCCAGGCCGTACCGTCACGGCAAGGCCTCGAACATTGACCAACGTGTGGTGAACACGTGGACTCGTCTGCCAGAAGCAGCGCTTAACACCCTCCACACTCCGTTCGTGACGAAGACGTGAACGACCCCTTATCGAATGTCCTCCGATTGGAATCCATTTACGCGTTCTCCGCTTTTCCGTGACCTTTCCGTGACTTTGCGGCGGGCATATTAGGCCACATATATGTACATTATAAAGAGTGTCCACAGCCTGTGTATTGCGTGCAATGCGCACGGGTAGAAATATAGGTAACCGTTCGGGCCCGTAGCGCGCCGGCCCTTTCAGCGCGCGACCACGTGATCGTGCCCCTGGGACGGCGGCTGTACCATAATGTTGTCCACCCCTAGGGCGGCGCCCCGCACGAGTTGTACGGCTGCCGTTGTCAGCAGTTACCAGCGTGCGTCCAAAGTGTGGGGTGCGACCAGTCAGCAGCAGACTCAACACTCGTCCAGCGTGTGGGGTGCGACCAGTCAGCAGCAGCAGACACAACACTCGCCTGTACATTCTAGTAACTGTGCCACAATGATTTTTTTCCATGAGAACACTGTGGGATTGAATCGCCGCCCGGTACCCATTCAGCAAAAAGGGAGGCTCATAAAGACCAGAGGTTGCCTTCATCCGCGGGCTCACAAAAAGAAAGTGATCGTTGGTGCATTGCACGGGCTTAAAGCAAGCATAAAAATCCTCAAACAGCGACATCCTATTTCCACACGAAATCTCGTAACTGTTGCCAATCAGCCTTAAATTGTGCAGTGAGATACCATTAGAAATCGTAAATCGCAACTGAGTTGTTCCGAGACATTCTAAAACATCCAGCATAGAACTGAAGCGCCATGGGAACCAGTCAAGACCGTAAGAAGTCTAAGGATGGCAGATGCGGTAAAACATATATTTACAGTATAGACGCAAGAGAAGGTGGATTTCGTCAAGATTTTGGGAACTCGTTATTTTCGAAGTTTGGCGCAGCAAACACAAGCGTTTACTTAGACCATCGCTACACACGGCAATGGGAGCACTTCATGGGTCGACAGAAGTTCACAGAGTAAGTTTTAAACAGCTTGGTATTCTTGCTTTCAACCACCGTTATACGGCAAGAATCTCGCAACGTTTACAAGCCTGAATAGTGGCTAACCCGGGTCTGTCTGGGTTTTGTTCACTGCTGTACCACAAATATGAATGATACTCGGGTGCTCAACCGGGATCTTTTATGAGGTGCCCTATTGATGTGTTTTTATTCCGACTGAAAACTGTAAAAGCCTATGTAAGGCCCCAGATATAAGAGGGCAAGGAGGGTTACCGGGACCCTGGCACCCCTGCCCTCGGCTGCGCCTCTGGTGATGCTTTGTTCTTAACTTGAGGTTTACCAAATTCGTCATGCATTCAACAAACTCACCCACACCAGGGAACTCGCCTTGCTTTGATTTAGTTTAGAATAGAGTTTTTCTGGCCATTAAGGATCACTTCAGGGCTATGAGATAGAGAAGAGTGGACAATGGAGGAGGGGGGGGGGGGGGGACTTCACGCACCTGGGGGTCCTCCGCCCAGAATTAGCCGCGAGGGGACCCCTTACGGGGGAACCCCTATACGCGGGGACCCATATACGGGGGACCCCCATACGGGGTATGTGCTTAGTATTCGGACGGCACACCTCACCAGCGACACTTAAGCCCTCTCATGACTGGCGCATGAAGCCTGTCTTGGATAAACAGGGCGTCGCCAAAATGCATCGTGGGGCGAGAATGAGGATAAAGAAGGCAGATGCATATTGATGTTTGACTGTTGGCGTGGGTTCCTAGGCCAGTTATTTATCAGGCCGTCATTATCAGTCGCCGAAGTTCTGGTCCGATTGTAATGGATTCAAAGTTCAAAAGTTGCCAGTCACTTCAAAATTTGTAAAAAAAATCAGACGAAACCGGAGAGCGCATCAGTGATTTTACCCCAAATTATGAAGCAGTCTCCCGGGTTCGCCCGCATGAAGGATCTCCCGCGGCACCGTTTGGCGTTGCGATAAGGCTCCACTTTGGCCGTACGTCCACGGAGCGAGCCGTCCAACCCGCCTCAAATGATGTGAGCACTCCCTCACATGAGCGGCATCAGAACGGTGTCGTCCAGGTAGGAGAGTGCTCACATCACGTCCGTTAATTGGGGGTGTGGAGCCTGGCTCTCGTCAATAGAGCCACGCTGGGGGTGTGGAGCCTGGCTCTCGTCAATAGAGCCACGCTGGAGGTGTGGAGCCTGGCTCTCGTCAATAGAGCCACGCTGGAGGTGTGGAGCCTGGCTCTCGTCAATAGAGCCACGCTGGAGGTGTGGAGCCTGCTCTCGCCGTAAAGCCACGCTGGAGGTGTGGAGCCTGGCTCTCGCCAGTGAGCCACGCTGGAGGTGTGGAGCCTGGCTCTCGCCATAGAGCCACGCTGGGGATGTGAAGCCTGGCTCTCACAA